TGGCTGTTCCTCACCCAGTTTTAAGCCTCCTACACAGCTGTTTCTGTTTCAGTTAATGACTGTGTTTCAACCTACATGTGAAATTGATGATTATTGCACCCATTTGGTATAACTGGTTGATCAAGCCTACAAAATCCCTGACTTTGTAAGAATTGATGCTGGTTTGAAGGCAAAGGGTAGTAACACCAAATATTGATTTGATATAGATTTTTCTTTTGTAAATTGATAAAAATAAACAATTATTTATATTTTTGAAAGCATTCTTAGTTTACAGCATTTTTTCACACCTGCCTAAAACTTTTGCACAGTAAGTGTATGCTACTAAGCGTGTATGATTGATCATTGTTGTATAGCCTGGCTCAGGTCATGACTCTTGGGTAAAAGGAATGGCTTTTGGAGCTGATGATGTATGTGGTATCAGATCGGTACACACATACTCGTAGATACCTGATACCTGATACCATATTTTAGACAGTATAATTACGTTTAGTAAACCACTCCATATAAAATGTATTTATGCTAAAGGTCCAGTGTTTGGGGGGTATCCTAACAAGTAAAGTTTTCTTTAAACATTTTATTTTACATTGAATTTATGTACAATAATAGTAATTTGTCATGTCTGTGTTTAGGTATTCACCTTCACCAAATCCAAAAACATCTGCATATTGTTTGCTTCCCAACATCAGGTTCCAAAATACTGTAACAAACAATGTTATTTTCCACCAAAATCAGACTGCCAGGTTGCAGTGGGTCCAGGCATCATTACATCTTCTTTTAATCATAGGTGTGACCGGTCACCTGTATCGCCAAACAACAGTTTTATTTAGAAGGCCCTTTGTAGTGCTGACTCCTCCTGTCCTCCGTTTATCCTCAGTCACCCAAGTCCAGCAGAGTTTGTGGAGGTTCTGTCTGAGGTCAGGAGGGTGGAGGAGAGGTTACGTCCCTTCATAGAGAGGACCCACTCCATTCTCGGAGCAGCCACCTCAGCAGACTACAACAACAATGTAAGTGCAGTTGCTTGAGGCAGAGAACATATACAAGTACTACAGTAGTCCCCATCAGAAGTTCTTTCAAAGACAATGGCATAACAGAGTGACTGACGTGTTATTCATTTCATGTGTAACGTGAACTTCTTCAGTTCTGTTTTAGCACTATTACTGTATTATTAAATGAAAGTTAATATTTATTGAACACATTTATATAATTCTCTCTACTAATATTACTAGAAAGCAGTGTCTGAAGCTAGATGAGCATGAAATTTGCTGTTGAAAGTCCTGCTCCTCAGGGGATGATGCCTAATTGACCCCACCTAAGTCCCCCCCTTTTTCAAGCAACTTTCTCTTTTCCTGTACTTGGACTGTACTGTACTTTTAAACTACCTAATGTTAGCAAAATTCCAACTAACTAGCTAGCTAGCTAATCTACATCAGTCATCAGCTATTTTGCTAACATCAACTATCAGATATTCCTGCCTAGCTAACAATTAATGTAGATTAGCTAGCTAGTTAGGTAGCCTTTTGCTGACTTTAGCTAGCTAACTTAAGCTGTGACTATACATGTCTCTTTTATCTTTTAACTATCTTCAAAATCTTTTTGACCTAGATTAGCCTAGCACGTAGCATTTCTAAGTACAGGAAAGGAAGATGACCAAGGTTCTGACCAAGGCTTGCTCAACTGTTATTGGAGCACAGAGCAAAAAGGGGCCAGACTAAGGAAGGGTCAGTCATTGTGATGAAATCTTGACCTAGACAATCATTCTAAAATATTCACTTAAACACATGAAATACTTTAATTTAATAGGCAGATTGCCTTGAAACATACTGAGCACATTTATCCTTCCTAGGAGATGAACACTTTAAATGACTCCATTACCTTTCACCCTCAGAACAAACAACGTTTTTAGACCCAATACTCGTAAGATTCTAAGAGTAGATAAATCCTGAGTATGTCCTCTGTTCTGAAACATGTAAAACATTTGACAGGTGCGAACAAAGCAGTAGCTTTTCTTGTCATAATTATCCAAAGCTGTTCCATAACAGAGTCTGTCTTCATTCACAGACCCAGGAAAGAGAGGAGGATCAGCGCGTTCTCAACCTGGTCGGAGATGCCCTGCGTCTCCTTGGCAACACCTTAGTTGTCCTCGGTGACCTGCGTTGTAACCTGGCGACCTCTCCTCCACGTCACCTGTATGTAGTTCGCCCCATGGCCCACTACACCCACCCGGTCCTGCTGCAGACTGGTCTACCACACATGCCCATTCCAGTAGGTTGACTCACTCTGGTCTCTTGTGTGGAATAATGATTTCTGTCAGATACAGTCATTACAAAATAACTTAAATTCAGGTAGAAAAAGCACACAAATACAGAGAATATCTTTTTTTGGTCGTTAATGAGGGCTCATCTTACATAATATATCTTTTTTATGCTCAGTTAATTGTGTATAGTTTGTGGGTGTTGCTTGATGTGTTTTCCTGATGTTCAGAAACATCTGCCTGGTTTTCAACTAGGCAGCAGCTAAAGCCCTGCTGTTAGTGTTTACCAACCTGTTTCACTTTTCCTTAAGGGACCCCTTCAGTGAGTAAACTGACGATCCCTGACTAAGTGACATATTTTATGGATATTTCATATTATATTCAATGCATAACAACTGATAAACTGTACAGTGAACCCAAATAGGGAACACAATAAATGCAGGAAGTTTGTGTAAAATGAGAGAGTAGAGAGACTCTTTCCTGTGAATACTAGATCAGATTACTTTTTTTCTGATATTTTTAGTAAGTTTTTGTATATACACTCCCCTCCAAAAGTATTGGAACAGTGAGGCCAATTCTTTTATTTTTGCTGTAGACTTAAAACATTTGGTTTTGACATCAAAAGATGAACATGAGAAATGAGATCAATATTTCAGCTTTTATTTCCAGGTATTTACATCTGGATCATTTTCCTGATTTTGGCTCTGCATGCCACCACATTGGGTTTGAAATTAAACAACTGAGATGCAAC